AGCGCTACCACACAAGCCGAGACTAGGCAAACGTTCAGGTATCAGCGATACAGTTTTTGACGGGCTCCCCTTTAGCCATGACTAAAGGGGACTTAGCCGTGACTTTTTTTGTTACTGTGTGCAGCTTTAAAAAACTTTTAAATATTTCTCTGTTGGTCCCTCATTCTTAAGGGCAGCTGGAAACAAACTGAGGAGTAGGGACCACTTTTTCTTGGCCTCCCTTCTTCCCCTCTGCGCTCCAGCAGCAGACTTGCTGAAAGCCGGGACTTCCAGTCTCTTCAAGCCCCTCCAAAGCAGGTGCCTGGTGGGCTGCGCCGCAGCCACAGCCGCTGCGAGACCAGGCTGCTGGCCCGTGCCCTCACCGAGCTGCGCCTGTCGGCGCCCACACGGGCGAACTGCTGGCCTGAGCTAACGGCTTCAACTTCTGCCTGGACAAGCGGTCCAGCGTTTCAACTGTCCCAGCTAGAAATGGGGTTGAAATGCCCGTTTCCTTGAGGTGCCTCGCTCTCCGGGGACTTGGCTTCACCCTTACAACCTCACTTTGCTCCTTACTCTGTCATGGTTCTCGTTGGTAGTGACCTCAGGTGCTCGGTGCCCCTCTCTGTTAGTCCCCTGCAGAGCTCCAGCAAATGGAGTGGCCACCGCCTTGCCGTGGTAGCCCCGGCGTTGTCAGCGTTGGTCCCCTGTGGGATGGGGAGCAGAGTGGCTGTGGGCATTTTTCTCTCAGACCAACGCCGCGAAGGGATAGTTCCTGCATGCACCCGTTAAGAGAAAAGGGCTGTTGCCTTACAAGTGGCGTGGCTGGTCTGGAGGCCTGAGGCAGCTTCTTACCACGTCGCTTAGACTGGGCAAGCTTGACTTCTCAGCACAGCAGTCCCTCACTTCTCTCCATAAGCATCCCAGACTAAAAATTCAGGTCACAAAGCTGAAGGCAGCTCGTGGTCCTGCCTCCTATTTCGAACCTGTTGTGTTTTAGACGAAGCCATGCATCGGGCTCCCTACCTCTGCAGGGAAAGACCTGCCGGATTTCCACTCCTAGAAGATAAATGCATTTTCAGCACTGCTTTGCATCATCTCCTGCAGCCTCAGTTGCTGACTCTCTTCTCGTTAATTGTGATTGGAGGCGCCTGTGCCGGTAAATTAAAATGTGATATGCCAGGGAACGTTACGCTTTATGAGGAAAAGCTTTGTATTTTTGTAATTGTGTTTTGGCTGGTTCTATCCCGCTTTTATGACGCCCTCAGTCGCACTCCAGCATGCTGCGTTTATGCAGAGGTGGAAGTCAAGTGCAATTCTAAAAGCAGTTTAGGACCACTTAATTAATTAAGCCACTCACCACCCCTCTTTTTAGAGAAGAGGCAGAGGTTAAGTGCATTTCCAAAGGTCAATCAGCAAGTGAGCTGCATAGCTAGGACCAGAACAGAAACTCCTGCTTTAGCAGGAACCGTTCAGACATTGCAGGTGAAAGCCAGGAGTAGGTCCCTTCCCCACACAAGCCGGCGAGGTGAACCGCAGGCAAAGGACAGGGCGAGGCAAGAAGCAAATGAGCTGTGAAGTTCAGTGTATGCCAGATAGTTCCACCTTATTTATCGCTGCGCACTTCAATCTGGAAAAAGGGTCCAGTGATTTCTTTGAAGCGGAAGAGTGACAGCACAAGTCCTTTCTACCTAGACAGTCTTTTCTTCCTCCAAGCCTTTATTATATCCCATATGTAGGATCAGTCATGTGAAGATACATAATTTAGTGTGGTGCCTTGGTGTATAATGGCATGTGGTCCATCCATTCAGACTGTGAATTAAGCTTGCGAGCTCTTTCAAATTATGCAGGACTCTCGGCCCTTGCCGCAGGGTGCATTTCCAAAACCAGGCAACTTGCAAAACCCTGGACCATGCATGGGAGCTCTTCAGAGGCCAGTCACAGCCAAAGCTTTTGGGTGGTTACAGTCAAGCTTAACTGCTTTGGGGTGCTAAAGGTATTCATCGGCTGGTGCCCAGTCCGTCCTTTCACCCCTCCAACCCCATCCCACCACTCCTCAGTCACACAACAAAACAACGGCACCAAGCCTCCTCCCCACTAGTCACCATCTGCCCAGACATGGAGCAGAGCTGCCCGTGCTGCTTTTAGGGAAGGGAGAGCAGTGTGTTAATGTGATGGCACCTGTGTCCAGGGACTGGAAATGCTTCAGCTTTCAGTGTTGGTGTTACTAACACAAGAGCTCTGACCGCTGGTGGAGAGCCCCTGTCTCCCTGTTGTTGTATGGGCAATGCCTCCAGGAGGCTGTTACCCCATGCTGGTCCCACAGGTGGGCTACACAGAGGACTTGCCTCGAGCTCAGCAGACCTTCTCAGTAGAGCTTGCTTGGACTGATACATTAGCATTAGAGAACCACGCAGGTTCGCTGATTTCTTTTTAAGAAAACCTGACCCTAGACCCATTTGTGGATAAGCAAAACTCATTTGGGTTGTGAGAGGAAGCATGGGAGTGATGGTGACATAATAACAATCATCTCAGCAGGTGGGACTTGGTCTTTCCTACATCTCTGTAGGCTTCACACTGTTGGTATAGCAGAGCAGAAGCTTTCGGACTTGCCAGCATATTTTCCTGACAGTTATTATTTGTCTCTATATACAGGAAAAAACAAGGCAGAAGCATCTGCCCTCACAAATCAGCAAAATGTGACTAATTGCTCAGACATCCAAAGGCTTTTCTCATGGTTCTGGTCACACCTCTCTTGGTTTTAGCTACATCTCGTCTCCTGCCCTGCAACACCAAGCGTTTGCCTCTGTGCCCGTAGGGGTGAGAAGAGGGCACGAGAGGCAGATGTCCTGCCTTGGTGCCGTAGTCTTTGTAGTAGTCTCAGCCTCTCCTCTCCCCGCTGAGACAGTTCAGGTGCCGAAGCCACAACTCTTTGGAGTGGATGCATGGATTGTTAAAAAATACGGAAAAGAGCTCCGGTGTCTGCTAGGTTTGTGCTGCAGACACGTGGGAAGCCGAACAGTGTCTGCTGCCCCACAGCCCCCCACAGCCCTCCTGCATGGGAGCTGTGGGGTCCGTGGATCCTGCCGGGGGTGTGCTGGGTTCCAGCTCCCAGGCAGGGGCAGGGGCACAAGCTATAACACCCAGGCGGTCTTCCTGGGGAGGTGGGATCACCATCTGATGGTGCACACCCCAAATTCCTCAAGCACTCAGCACCTGCTGGGTAATGGGCCACGGAGACCGAGGCAGTAAATGAGAGCAAGTTCCTGTCCCCAAACACCACGGGGAGTGATGTGCCCTGAGCTGCCAGGGATGTGTCAGTGCAAAACCAGAGAGGATACGGATGGGGTTCGGCCACCCAGTGCACAAGGGATTAATGCTTGTACCAAAAACAGCCACAGTGGCTCAGGCTGAGGGGACCTGATACAAGGGGGCATGAGGGGGTTTGAGAGTGTGAGATACAGGTGGGGCCTGTCATAGAATCATGGAATCATTGGAAGGGACCTGTAAAGGCCATCTAGTCCAACGCCCTGCAGTGAGCAGGGACATCTTCAACTAGATCAGGTTGCTCAGAGCCCCGTCCAACCTAACCTGGAAGGTTTCCAGGGATGGGGCATCTACCACCTCTCTGGGCAACCTGTGCCAGTGCTTCACCACCCTCATTGTGAAATATTTCTTCCTTACATCTAGTTAAAATCTGCCCTCTTTTAGTTTAAAACCATCACCCTTTGTCCTTTCGCTACAGGTACTGCTAAAAAGTCTGTCCCCAACTTTCTTATGAGCCCCCTTTAAGTCCTTGAAAAGCTGCAATAAGTTCTCACCAGAGCCATCTCTTCTCCAGGCTGAACAACCCCTACTCTCATAGCCTGTCCTCATAGGAGAGGTGTTCCAGCCCTCTGGTCATTTTGGTGGCCCTCCTCTGGACCCGCTCCAGGTCCTCCTTACATTGGGGGCTCCAAAGCTGGCCGCAGGACTCCAGGTGGGGTCTCACCAGAGCAGAGCAGAGGGGCAGAATCACCTCCCTCAACCTACTGGCCACAGCGCTTTGGATGCAGCCCAGGATATGGTTGGCCTTCTGGGCTGCGAGTGCACATTGCTGGCTCCTGTCCAGCTTTTCATCCACCAGTACCCCCAAGTCCTTCTTGCCAGGGGTGCTCTCAACCCCTTCATCCCCCAGCCTGTACCTTGATACTGGGGGTTGCTCCGACCCAGGTGCCGGGCCCTGCCCTTGTCCTTTTTGAACCTCATGAGGTTCACACAGGCCCATTTCTTGACCTTGTCTAGGTCCCTCTGGATGGCATCCTGTCCCTCAGGCGTGTCAACCGCACCACTCAGCTTGGTGTCATCTGCAAACTTGCTGAGGCTGCACTCGATCCCACTATGTAATTGATGAATGTATTAAAGAGTATTGGTCCCAGTACGGACCCCTGAGTGATACCAGTTGTCACTGATATCCATCTGGACATTGAGCCATTGACCACTACCCTCTGGATGCCACCATCCAACCAATTCCTCATCGACCCGACAGACCACCCATCAAACACCTATCTCTCCAATTTAGAGAGAAGGATGTTGTGGGGGACTGTGTCAAAGGCCTTACGGAAGTCCAGATAGATGACATTGGTAGCTCTTCCCTTGTCCACTGATGTGGTCATTTCACCATAGAAGGCCACTGGGTTGGTCAGGCAGGACTTGCCCTTGGTGGTAGGACTTGCCCTTGGTGGGCAAGTCGTGGTCATATTGGGAGTCATGGTGGTCATTCCGGGGACTGGCCAGATCTGGCCCCGACCCTGTCTCAGGGACGGCAGAGACTGGCAGGAGGAGCATGTGGAAAAACAGGGTGAGATGTCTGCCCCAGTGCAAAAACCTTCCCTGGCCCTCGTGGGGCAGCAGGGGGTGCCTGGCTCAGAGCCAAATAATAAAGCACAGACCTGCACTCCCTGAGAGAGTCCAAGCCCGGCCTTTGGACTCCATCTGCATTTACTTTGGCCTCCACAGCACCCTGTGACAATGATTTCTCCAATCTAGGGAGGGCCAGAAGCACCCCATCTCATGGGCTCAAAGCCACGGCCATGAACCGTCTCGACTTGCCCGATGTGTGCCACATAAACACCCGTCATCTTCACAGCAGGGTCACAGCAGGGTTTAGCTTTATCACCAGGCATGGTGTGAAGCAACATTTTATTCAAGAGAGCCCTCGCCTTTGCAGGCTGGGCATTTACACCGCAGGACCGCGGCCGCAGCAGGCGTCGGTGGTGAGGCAGGGCGGCTGCACAGGCGGACACCTGCACACCTACCCCGGGAGACAGCGCGGGGCAGGCGGCGGGCGCTCAGCCGCACTTGCCCAGGCACTCCGGGAGACCCCTGCGGGT